CGTGTCCGGTCCCCGTTCCGGAAGAGCCAGTGAAACGGCCGGTCGGCCATGGTCTAACCAGTTCTTCCCACAATGAACTAGACATAGGCTGAATCCCGAACAACCATTGTTTTACTGATTTTGCAATATACACAACCAGGTTGTTCCAATTTTGACAGGTCGAACAGAAGGCTAGGGTGCAAAGGAAAATCCCATCACTTCGTACCCATGATTTCCCCATATGTCCTCTGTGTGAACCTCCCCGCCATCCCACACGTCCCGTCCGTGTCCATCCGTCCGCAGAACGTGGCGAACGAACGACCCGCGAAAAGCACCGAGAGGCACTGGTTCTGGCAGTTCGCCACTGCACAGGACAAACCTGAAAGTGGAGACGCAGAGCGCAGATTGGTTTCATGGACGAACTATGCTCATAAGAAACCGGCAGGCCCGGATTCGTGGCATGCCTATAAGCGATTGCTTAGCACTGACTCTGAGTGAAGTCACCGGAGGCTGAGGCTTGTAAGTGGTTCTCGCTAATTAGAAAACTGCACGTCTGACCACCTGGAATCAACACGGAAGTGGAGTTCACCAGCTGTTTGTAGTGGGTTGGTTTCATGGTCTTCCTTACGGGACCAGGCCATCCACTTCCATGTTAGTTCCAGGGAGTGTAAACCTTTTTCGCTCCGTTGGGGCCTCAGAGTTGGCCTGGCACAAGACTAGTGGGTACCATCAGATCATGGGATCGCCTCAATACCCACTAGCGGCCATGGCCAAGAGCCCAGGCGCCCAGGTCTCAGGAACTCGTTTTGTTCGGCCTTTTTCGTTCCAACCAAGTTCCAACGAGAGGGGGGCGATTATTTTTCGGAGAACACAGCCATTGCACCGCACCATGGCGGTTGCAAAGAAACATGGAGAGATACAATTCAGAGATCATTAGAGACATTTGAGTGGGTGGCGCATTGGAATCCCCCAAAAAAACGGGTACGCAGTGTATACCCCAGTGAAACATGATGGTTAACAATGGTTAACATGGATCTGCTTGAAGAGTGATTTTAGGAGAACGCTTGAGTTCCAGTGATTGCCAGTTGCCAGTTCACTTCCGGCATCTAAATTATTGACATACACATCTGAAAAGCTATTCATTGGACCCTGGTGCAAAACAAAAGCCCCTCGCCTTCGCCTAAGCATCCAGCGCAGTTCTGCTGCACCCCATCGCTCTGCAAACATGCGCCCAGGCAAGTGGCATCCACTGGGCCAGGCCGGCAACCGGGTCGCGGGGTCGTGGAGGTGGGTGAGGTCATTCGCTGGAAGGGAAGAATGGAACGCGCGCGGAATGGAACATCCCGCCAGCTCACAGGATAGACTCCCTATAGATCCACTTAGCTGGAGGGTTGCGGGTAGATCCACTCACCGATTCATCTACTTCGAGAGAGAAGTCTAAACTGCACCGGAACATGGAACTCCTGGATTTCTTTAGTGCTAAATATCAGTTCGTTAGAGCCTACGTGGTGATTCAACTCACGGTCATGGTGCCGTCAAATTTGTGCTCTTATACATGTGGGCTCGCAAATTGTAAGGCTATGTAAATAGATTGTAAATACCAGGACCCCATTTCGGGGCTTCTATTGATAGCCCCTTAGAGGTGATTCGGGGTGTCCATTAACCACCCAAGTCCAGTGGGTCCTGGTATTATATGTGTCATACAGCATCAAAAAATGGATGTCACCGTCCGACTTGGTGACCCATTGGATGGTCCTGGTATGTGTCCTACAATCATGTTTATCCACCTCATTCCGTACACATGCCAAAGGTCCCAACGCTCCGCTCCACGCGAGCGCGCCACGCGACACGCGAAGGCTCCACGCGAACGCGCGCCTTGCTCTCCGTCAACGCATCCCTCCGTGGTCGCACACTTCAACACCTTCTCCTGCGTTCAGCGATGGAATGGGACCCTCGGATAGGGTCGCCGACGAAACAGTGCGGAGGCGAAAGAAGCACCCCGATTTCGGGGCAGCCTGAACGAACCGCGGCGTGGCTGATTTGGACGAATCTACTTGGTGGTTGTTCCCTGCCACTCCATGGCACACTTCGCTGATTTGTCAACCTGATTAACCCCCTTTTCAACCACCCCACCTGATTCGTTGGTCTCAGCAGGCCCCCAGAAAAAAAAAGTTCAGCGGCTGGTGGATGGTTTCGCCGATGGGGACACAGATGATCGCGCCAATGAATCGCCTGTTATGAACCTAGGGCTCCAGTCGTACCTTCGTTTCGAAGGTGGGACTGAGGTGGGTGCCATGTTCGGGTCCAGTCATACCGAACCTGAGGAGGTACGACTGGAGCCCTAGGGATTAATCTCTTCATCTTTAAAATGAAGACCTCTCCAAGTTATAGTCTGGCCACTTGCATTTGGTGATGGCTCCCCAAGTGAGTTTCTGCCTTCCGCAAGTCGGTGGTTGGCTCCCGGGCGTCCCCTTCTTTCCAAGCAATGCCACCCCACCTCGTCCTCGTTCTCGTTTTCGGCTCGGATCGGGTTCGACCCCTCATCCGCCATGCCCACCACCCGTCTTTGGCATCCATCCCTCTCCTTGTTCTCAAGGAGGCAAGATCCATCGACCAAACTGGCCAACGCCAGGAGCACTGCTGGAAGCTTCATGGACCTCGCAGTTCTGCAGCTTCTCCGATGACAGAGCGATCGTGGGAGCATCCATTGGAGCCGGGTTTGGAGCGTGGGGGGGTTGGGTTGGAGCGTTTTTTGGAAACTGAGGTGGTGACTGAAAGTGGGATCTGCAGCTTCACTCATCGATTTATCGATAGACCTTGGACACCAAGACAGGTTACCCCAAGTAGGAGGTGGTGCAACTATTGACCCCCATTGCCCATCTGCCTAAGACATCTTGCGGTGCCAGTGCCATCGAAGCCTCTAAGCGGCTTATTGATCAGCTGACCTTTGCTTGGATTTGCTTAAGGAACTTAAAGGAAATAAAATGAAATAAGAATACATATTTATGAGAATTTATATACCCATAAGCAAAATCAGGTTTGTGTACTGAGTCGAGCCTTTCAACGCAGTTCTGGACCTCCCACAACTGGAAGTGCTCATCCATGGTCCATGGGTTCCAGGCTGCACATAAGGACAGGGACCATTGACCCCGGATTCAGTCATCAAAAGGTTTTGTCTTACAAATCAATATTGACAGACAGTGGTTACTAGGGACGTAGCTCACACGATCACCGACAGATGTTGGGCACCACAAGATTAGCATGATTAGCATGGATACAGATCGTTTAGTCTTTGTGATGTCAATTTATCCCAATGGTTGACCACTACCAAACAATATTGACATGTCAAGAGTGGGAAAAGAACATTGACATCCACTTCGCAAAAAGCACAAAACCCACGACCTGTGAAGGAAAAAAATAACGGTCAAACAGAACACGAGTCCTGGTTGGGAAGGCCTCCTTTTCATCAAGGCTTCCGGGTGATCGTTCGTTGCTGGGCCAAGGCCTGGCAGGCCTTCGTTTGTTCCACACACCCGCCGAGACACCTTCGTTCGAGGATCGGCCGCGGACCGGGACAGGCACTTTTGCTACGCTCAAATAGCTGCAGAGAAAGACCGGCGACCGGAAGAGGAGTGTGTATCTGGCAGTAGACCTCTTCCTTTGGTTGGTGTCGCTTGAGTAAAGCCTGTATCTACACAACCCTAAGAGGTAGACCATTTGGAGCCACCAATTGGCACCCCTATATGACACCCAGCTCATTTCGGTAGCACATGAAATAAATGGATCATTTGGGAACACTGATCCTGTTTGGCCAACAAGCTACCCGAAACAGACCTGCTTTGACCCGACTGCACTTTCCTTTTGGAGAACACACCTGGAGCCTTCTCCGGCGAGCCAGCCGAGTGTTTGCTCGGGGTGACACAGTCGGTCGGACCGAACCGAATGCTTCGGGGTGTTTCCGACCCACAACGAACGCGATGAGAGTACTTTTGGGATTGCGAACTGCAATGGGCCATACAAGTACTATACATACAGTCATACTCTAGCCTCCCACAAAGTGACTAAGTACATGGTCTTTGTGTCGTATCAGTGTCGACTGCGTCTTCTGTCAAGGTATGTCAAGGTTAAACTCTGATCTCTCACCTTCGAAATCTCCCAGCCCGACAGAGTTGGATGCTGTCTTCAGTTTCCGACCCAGTCGCAGTCGAGAGATCACCGCTGTTTTGTGGGGTGGGTATCTATATCCAGTACATCTTAGAAAATCAGACTATTAAATCGCTGAAGAATCAAAACAAGACTCCCTGAAAACACTCATGGAATCTGAAACCATCACCACCTGTTTGGTATGCGGAACAAATTAGGCCATTTTCCCATCCACGCATCCTTTCCGGGAGTGTAAAACCTGATGGCCCCACCCTTCGCAGGACCTTCCCAGTGACCGAACTGTGGAGTTTCCAGTGACCCTTAGACAGGCCTGTTTGTGGCCTCAGGGGATCAACGTCGGTCTTTGGGAAGATCCAGGAAGGTCTGTATTCGATGTGAGCGAAGCCGAAACCGAGGCAAAAACCGTTCGTTCCAGGCTGCACAAACATTGATTGCCCAGCACCTTCTTGCATTTTCAGGGGGACCCTAAATCCTAAATTTCAGCCAATCCCAGCTCCATTGGAGTTAAAATACACAGGGTGATCTCAACTGTTCCTTTCCCAAGCCTGAAGATCCAAAGATCCCTGCCCATCTGAGAAACCAATGGGACTACCAATGGGAACCCATCGTGCGTCAGACTGCTAAGTTAAACTTCTTGCCCAAATTGAGCTGGAGTAACATGACACGACCGGTGTCAACACCATCTATGGACTCAAAAATGTAATATGTCCCTTACAAACGCCCCTTGAGGCTTCCAGGAATGAGACCCCCTCAACCAAAACTCAACCAAAACCAAACGACCAGGTGGGACTCCACACAGCACCTCCATACCTGTAAACCCTCTACCTCGCCTCATGCATCCGAAGCAAAACACCCGCCTCATGCGGATCTACTTGAGCTTGCTAGGAGAGAACCTCAGCAACTGAAACAGCTGGGCCAGGGTTTTGAGATCGCCGAAGGGTGAACCCGCAGGGGCGACCTGGGGGCTGTCCGACATCGAGGTCCGTTCTTCGGCCTTTCGGGCGATGCCACGCGGCAACCATCGTTGTCGTTGTCCTTTTCCGGGCGATGAGACGAGTTGGGGTTCAACACCTCCTGTGCCGAGATCAGCGACTTCCATGAGCGAAAAGACAACGATTCACCCAAACCCTGTCCATCTCGATGCTGGGAGTCTGGTGTTTCCAATCCCCCTTTGCAGAACCGTTTTGCAGATGAGCCATATTTTCCCTGGGTCGGAAATTACATGGTACGGTTACAGGATTCTGAACCTCAAAAGTATGGTCCAAAAAAAAAGGGTCTGCAGCCTCCATCTAAAATTTCATCCATGGAAATGGTCGCATCGTCTCCTGGAACAGTTCACCAAATCTGCCCATGTGTTTGCCACAGGAATAAGCCTGAGAACACATAATGCAAAGTAAATGCAGTTTTACAAGATCACGGCCGTCTGGTCAAAAGTCGTTGGCAAATTGCAAGTGGCGCAAAATGTTGGCAAATGTTCGGACGCATAGTCGTCTGCGCAACAACCTCTCGCCAAGTGGCTCGGGACCTTCTCTTGCAGCTCCATGTATAGCTCATCTTTGCACCCAAAAAATTATGGATACATGTATGTATCCATGTATACCTCTCTTTTCCATGTATAGCTCATCTTTTCCACTCATCTTTTCTATGAGTGGCATTGGAACATTGGCCCACCTCCCACTCCCTGCTAGTCACCCTCGATCGGACTGGTCCTGCTGGTTCAACCGGGGGTACACCACCACATTGAGCTGTTTTTGGGGGGTCATCTCTCCATGTTCCAGCACCATTGGGTCACAACATGTCGGACCAAAGATTTCTATCACTCCAATCCCTGCAGAAGGCACAAAAACACCTCCTTGCCGCTCCACTTGGGCACATCAAACAATTCGCCCTGTCCACGAAGACAGATCGGTGTGAACTTCTCGTTTGACATCGACTGAGGCTTCCAGCCAGAGACTGTAGCCCGGCACTTTCACGCACTTGGGCAAGTCCACCTTGGACCTGCCAAAGGCGCGCGCGCGCGCTTCGGCGCTTCATGGAACAGAATGTCGTCGCAAATGGTCGGAGTTTTTGCACTCACTCATCCCTTCTTTGGGTGTGGGAACCAGTGGCTTCGAATCCGGTTGGTAGAATCCATATAAGGATCAACGCACTGATCAAAGCTAGTCAATGACTCCAAGTGGATCAATTGGCAACTTCTGGTGAACTCCAACTGCGATGAAAGTGCTATGACTCTATGCTTCCCATGGTTATGTCCTTTCATCTCGCAAGCTCATTCAGTTGTCCTCCGTCGATTCGTCGTTCTTCTCCAGTCACTTGTGTCGTGTCCAACGGATGCCGACGAATGGCTGGTGGAAGATCCTCCAAGCCACATGTGGGTGTGTCCAGCAGAGGTTGAAGAACCCTAGTTCGGCTATCCTAGTTTGGTACCCCAGGTGACAGGTCTTATTTAAGGTCACTTAACCTCTGATATGTTGATGTGGAGGCCCGTGGTGGCTGAGGGAAGTCCGGCAAATATTGACCGAAGAATCCGGAGGATCCAACGGGGAAGTCTCGCTATTTGAACTAGACACCCAGAACTTACCAGCCTCTCATGGGTAAGTCCCGCAGCCAAATCACAGCCTGTGACTCCATGCAAGAACCGTTTCTCAGGCCACATGCTTGCAAACTCTGCAAGCTCAAGTCTGTATTGGTTCTCATTATCCAGGGATCTGTTGTGCCCATCTGACATGTCTCCGGATGGCAAGGATGAGTAGGGCCGATACTGCAGCACGTGAACTGCTGTGCCTGGAACAACCTTTCCACACTTCCTAAAGTCGCACCACTGATCAAGTTGTTCACATCAAAGGGGATCCAAGAACAAATACAAGGCTTTGGAAAAACTATTCCATACCCGGGCCCAGGACTGTTTTGGAGGGATTGAATAATGAGCAATTCTTTTCCACACCATGTGTCGCAATTGTTTTCAACATGTTTCTCAAATTTCTCTTGCAAAACCAATGGTGTCCTTTGAGATTTCTCGCATTCTTTCAGCTTTCCTGGCTGAGTCATTGGGCCCTGATGTTTCAGAGTTTAAAGCCCTCACAAACCGTACAACGAAAAACCGCTTTGGGCTTTCTCAAAAGCCGCTGTTTTTTCGCAGTTCCGCCAGCCGAGCCATTGGACTTGGATGTCGTCCGGTTTCCGGTTGTTTCATGTTTTTCTTGTTGGGTATTGTTTGGACTTGGATTATAATCAGTTGTTCTTTATTGTTTCATGTTGGTTCTAATGTCCTTTCAAAACAATACCCAAACAAACTCTCTGGAATGTTTATTTTGGAGACTTGTTCTTCACTCTCCCTCAATTGTCAATTGTTTGCCAGAGGCGGGGTGCTCGAATATTATTGGAGAGGAAGTTGCCTCTTAAAGCCAGAACACAAGTAGCAAAACACCACTGTTTCCCCACGCTATAGCTTGCAGCCCATCGCTAGAAAGAACGCTAAGCGAAAAACCTCTGCTGGGTGGCTGTTTCCTCAAGACATCGATCAGCGCTCCAGCTGTTCGTGTATCCCGCCTCAACCAGCAATTGCCCACACGACCTGAGCGTTACATGCTGGAAGGGATTCTGATTCCCCGAAGCAGGAAGAAGCTGCACAAAGAAAATCTTGGCTCACCAAACCGTGAAAAAAGATCACCTATACTCTTTAGGGCTCCAACCATATCCTCAGAAGGTGGTTAGACCCCCCAAACCCACCCCAACCATCTTCTCAGGAGGTGGTTGGAGCCCTAGGGACAGTCTCCTACCTCTGAAGCTGTCTCCTGCACCCGAGATCAGGGATCGATCACTCCCTATGGATATACCTTGCCACCGTACCTCAGAAAGTATGACTGGGCCCGACCCTGGCGCCTACATAAGACTCCAATCACCGTACTGTTCGGTATGTGGATGCATAGGGACTGGAACCAGCCCACTACTATCTTACTAAGCTCTCACAACGACACGACACACTTGTGAGCATCAAACCCACTGACACATGGCGAAGTCTCACGAGGAAAGCATGATCCAAAAGACACCTCCCTAAGAATCATTGGACCTGACCCACTGTCTGGAGGGTCTTGGACCCTGTTTGTGTCCTCGCAGGGGTTTGTGCCCTCAAAACCTTCGCCGGATCCTTGGGCTCTCTCCGGGTGGAAACCTTGGACCTCTGCATCGTGTCTCGCTCTCCGTGTTCGGACGCCCTTGCGGAGGGTGCAGCCGTCCAACTTACTACACCTCCTGGCCCGACCTCCGAAACTCGCTTCGATGGTGATGGTGCCGGCCGAGACGCACCGAACCTGAGGGTATGGGTTCAGGAGCCCTAGGGCCCCAGGGGGCTGGACTGGTTGCGTAGTTCAGGGACCTGTGCCCTGAACTCCACCGTTTTGGAGTGGAGAGTACTGTACTGAGTAGTTCTGTGCGGACGAATCGTCGTTCACCTGGGACGAAGTAAGACCTATATACTAAATCATACCTACTAAATACTGTTCAACTGTGCAAAATGACTGCATACATGTCCTAGTCGTCTAAAAGAAGCAGCCAAGTTAGGCAGACATGTTGCATAGTCGATAGTCGATCAAGACTGAACAACAGTGACCGAGTTTCCGTCACTGAACCGAGCTGAATAGCCTCCCTCGGACCGGGCACAGATCTGAAGGTCCTGGTAGCTAGGTGAATGCAAATGACCACAACCAGAGATCACATTCTTGGCAAGCTATGTTGGTCTTCCTATGGTATATATCTGTATTATCAGTCTATTTTTTGGCCTTCCTGGAAAATTCTGCCTGGCTGATCTGGCTTCTGGCAGGTTCCCTTACACATCTCCCCCAAAAAACCACATACAAAAAAGCCTGCTTTGCTTCGGCCCCAGCGGCCAAAGTCTTGGTAAAGTGAGGCTTCACAGGAGTCCACCTTGCTGCACTCCTGCAGGGAACGGGGCCGAGGGAACGGGCCGACCGCAGCGATGGGGGCTCTGTGACTTGGATGTGGGGCTCTCAGGAAGCTGGGGAAGACTGAACATCTTCCCCCAGGTTTGGGGAATTGATCCAGCTCGGAGTTCGGGAAAAAGAAGTCATCTGGGATGGCAAAAAAGACAGGGTGAGATGAGCCAAAAGGCAAATGGTCTGTGGTCAAAACTGATGAATGACATCGGTGTCAACAAGGACGGGTATGTGTCATCCACCAAGTTTTTATGGGCTGTGGGTCAACACTGAAAATGAAGAGATCATCTAATTTACGGGATGTCAACCAAACCCATGGATTGATGGGGAGGTTAAGTTCCTCACAGCCATTTGACAAAAATGTGTTTTGTTGTTTAGTTCCTTTAACACAGAACTCTGGGCTCACTCTTTAAGTAGGTCTTGAGAAATAGCGGACAAAGTCATTTGGCCAAATGTGTTGAAATCCAAGCAAGTTTCTCCAAATGGTTAATCTTTGACTTGCTTTCCCTGTTTGAAGAATCAAGAACACTCAAGGAAAAGAGGGAGCGTATGACTCTATGATGAAAGGGGGGGTGTATGATTCTATGACGTGTCATGAAGTGGAGTACGCCCAGAATCAGTCTGCTAAGAGGGTTGGTCGTTGATCTTCACTGCTACACAATCGTCTTGCAGTCTTGCAGTTTTTGTTGGGCCCTCAGTTCCAAAGCAATATTAACACAAAAACAGAACTCAACATGTCTCAAGCACCCTGAGGGCATTGTGCGGTCTGTTAAGTCAATGTTTGTGAGAATTGAGAATCCTTCCTTCACCCTACCTATATATATATACTTAGTAAAATCCGTTTGCTGTGAGGAGACCAGCTGGTGTACATTCAGAACGCAAGCGGCAGGCAATGGTAGGCTGGCAGCTGGTCCTGATTTACATCATAGAGCTTGTCTCAAAGCACAAGCACATTCTATACTAAAATACATGAGCCAGCAACGCAGTAATGATCAGGAATGGAATGGATAAAGAAATCACAAATTCAGAATTTCAACCCCAAACCATCCGAAAGTGTTTTAAACAAATACCCTACAGATCGATACAGTATACAGATGTATACTGTATACAACACCAAGAACGGCTTACTGACAGAAATCACTCAACAACAAGAACTCCCATCCTAAAACCACTCGGAAACCGACCCACGCGCCCCTTCCGGCCGACCAATGCCGATGGTTAGGCCGGATGCATCGGATCCATTCGCTCTCCTTCAGGCATTCTTCCAGGGGCAAAAGCCCCACGAAGTCCTTGCCTTCCGCAGTCGCAGCTCCTGCGCCCCAGTAGCAGTTCAGATCCTGCGCGTGCCGCGGCGCCGCGGGGCGCGGGGCGGCCGGCTGTGGGTGGGGTTCAGAGAGATTCCAGGTTTGATCTTTTGGGAAGTTGTCCAGTTCGACCAGAAGTGTATACTTGGGATGGATGTGGATGGATGCCATATATTTCAAAGCACGATGAATCAATGTACATTGTAACTATAAGCCCATGACTTCTCGCACTCTTGCCAATGAACTGCAGGGGCGGAAGAACTTGAAGCCAACCTAAACCAACGATCCGGTGCTTGAAACAAGTGGAAGATACAAATGAAGGACAGTCTTTTGATGCCATCAGACTACATCGTTGCACCAGGAAAACACATCGTTGATCGGCTGCCTTCACGAAAACACACACCATAAATCGAAGAGTAGTACAGTGGTTTCAGAGTAGATGGCGCAAACCCCTACATGTCCTTTAGATGGGGGTTCATATAAACCACCTCTTGGGGATTGTGCCATCTACTCTGAACCCTCTGTACGTGATTTAACACATCTCCACACGTGACTCATATTGGGCCTGTGGGGTCGACCCGTAGAGAAAACTCATGGCGCCGGGGCACGTCCGCTCTCGTCCAAGCTGGCAGGGTCAGTGGAGCTCCGGTGTGGTCAACCAGGGTTCCCTGGTTCCATGATGTGCCTTGACCCATTGCCATAGACTCAGTCGACTGACGTGTACGGTGACCAGGTGACCTGTCCCAGCTCTCCACGCCGTGCAAACGGCGTGCGAACGATGTGTGATCAGCGCCCCCCCCCCAAACAAAAGAAGAGAATCTGCCAGCAGTCACAAGGTAAGGGGTGCTATCCATGGAGGTTAGGGGTGCCCACTGTCCACTTAAAAACCACCCCTTTGTGACCCCTGGTGTTGGTGAAGGCTTTACACAGGGGTTCGATCGAAAACAATAAACGCGCGTCCGGACTGTTGCTGGAAGTGAGATCCCATTCATCCCATCGGCTACAAACCTCAGCTGCGACAACAGATCTGTCGATTTCATTGTGCCTTCAGTCGACTCCTTTGCATGAGTTTTTTTCTTTTTGTGAAGCAAGCAGAACAGATTCGAATTAGACATGACTCACTATACTCTCCCTCCAAAAAACCAAGAAGTGGACAGCCCCCGCTTTGCAGAGGAACATGATCTTTCCACGAGCCATTTTCTTCCGGATTCCATGATTGTAGGGAGGGTAAGCATAATTAGACGAAGCTTCCGCGCACCCTCGCACCCTCGCTTGTCATGTGCTCCAGACTTGGCCTTCCAACGAACGCCCAAAAATCTCGTCGAAGTCGTCGACAGTCGTCCGTTCTTGGATTCGCGGCGTTACCGCGCGGCGCGGCGCGGTAACGCGCGGTGGGTTCGTCCGTTCTCCTCGGCTTGTTTCCAGGAGCCCCGCAGAGAAGTGACGGTGCGGGTGCTCCTTGGAGCGGAGAAGGGCGCCGAGACGGCGCCAGGCGGAGCGAGCGCGCCGTGAGAGAGAGAGAGAGATCTCGTTGCATCGTCGAGTGGGGGCTTTAGCGTCGAGTGGATGCTTGACAAATTGAAGAGATCCTGGTTCTGAAAAGCAGTGTTCAAAGGGACAATCAGTGATTTTAGTGATTTTAATGCTGCAAGAACACCAACAAAGTGCTGGAGTACGAATGAGCAAGCCCCCGATTTGGTCGCCTCTTTAAAAGCTCCTTTCACATTGATTCTGACGAACAGATTTCTACTGTTTCTCAGGTATATATAGGAGGCCGATCCGGATCGACTCGGCGGAAGGCGGCTCGATTGAGCTGACACGATCCGAATCCCTGACGTTGGGAGGAGACACAGCGAACTACGAACAGTTCAGCTCCGCCCTCCCGGTTCTGCTGAACACACCAGATGGATCCATCTGGTCATCAGTGCCATATCCTTTGTGAAGAGAGAGAGTGAGAGAAGAGAGAGAGAGAAGAGAGAGAGATAGAGAGAGAAGAGAGAGAGAAGAGAGAGAGAAGAGAGAGAGAGAAGAGAGAGAGAAGAGAGAGAGAAGAGAGAGAGAAGAGAGAGAGGGGGGGGGGGGGGGAGTGGGGACAGCTTGAGGCTTGGAGATGAGGCTTGGTGAAGAAGTTCCCCCCCCGAAATGGATGTCGACGTAAGGACTATACCTACCTCTGGGAAGTCCCTCAAATCGTGTGAAGATCCCATTTGGGTCCGAAGTCTGGAATAGCTCCGACTAAAAATGACCATCATGTGAAATTATCTCGAATATTCTTGAAATATTATGACATAATGATATGTCTGATGACTAATGACTTATAGACTTATATTTCAAATATATATATATAATGCATCATATCCCTCCGATCTGTGCTGGTTTTCCATCAGGTTCCGCCTTCCGGCGCAGCAGCATTTTCCTGCGCAGCAGAACTGCCAGGTCCGTCCCCGTTGGACGTCGGCTTTTCTCCACCAGGATGCTGGGTCATCGTCGTGGTGGTCATGGAGGTCGATGTACCTGGAGCGTCATGATGGATCTATGTACATCGTGTACATAGATCAGGATAGATCGTACAGTGGATCATATGGTACATGGAAATGTTGGCACATGGAAAACTGTGGAAAAATGGTACATGGAGCATGGCATGGAAAAGTGGGTACCTCTCGTTGCTCTTGGGAACACCGTTTCTCAGGCGGTCGCCTGTGGCTAGAACATGCGTGCATCTAATTACAAAGATGTGCGAGTTGACCACTGTGCCTCAACAGCCTGAATTCTTTCGGACCACAAAAGCCTGATCTTGTTCGCGAATGAAAACACGTGGCGCTTTAGAGCGGCCCAAACTGAGTAGTAGAATGCTCCCTACTTCGACAGGCACTGAATCTTTTGGGCAGCATGCTGTGCCCCGCGACACATCCTTACTCTTTCCAGTGAGTTCTGGTGGGTGGAGATGTACAATATGGGAACAGGAACAAGAATAAAAACACCTGGCAGGACAATGTACACCCACCTCACCAAAGCATATATGTGGGGCCTTTGCCACTGCTCAAATGTTTTTTTTGTTAAGGAGAGTTGGGTCTTCTTATGTCTTCTTGTACTTTGTTGATGAAACCAACAATCCTTCCTTTTCACGACCAACAGGTGGTGTACATCTCCAACAAGCAAAACCACCATATACTATAACAGGCAACATCATCCATTCATTGACTCTGTTTGTTTGCAGTCTAATGTCTAATGTCGCTGAACAGCATGACACCATATGATGCCCATGTGTTTGCAAATGCTCAAAGATGGGTACAAATGTATGAAAATCTGAAAAGCAGTCATATGTTTCTTCCAACATGCTTTCAAGGCCATTCGGTCCTGATTTTTGAGGCCTTCCACCGCTTCTCCAGGGCTTTGAAAGGCGATGAGTTCATCTGATATGTTAAAATATATCTCAAGTCACATTAACACCACACTCTGACATGTTAACATCCAAGTCACATCATGTCGCATCCCAAGAGACACCTTGCCAATCTGTTGCATTTCAATTATCATCTTGTTAAACAAAAAAAACAAATCACCACATCAACACCCCCGCTAAAGCCACAAGAAAACACGATCTAATCTCCCTCACCCAAAACTTCCCCATCAACACCCCTCCCTCACTACGGTCCAGTTTCCACTTCGGGTTGAGGGACCCTATAGACTATCCGTACCCCAGGTCTTCCGGGTCCTATAATCCCGGTCACTGGCTACCTACCTCTCTTGGTCCCCCCCACACTCCACAAACCACCCCCCGCAACTCCCCCATCCCTCTCGCACTCCCTCCCTCCCACTGCTCCCCTCCGAGGCACGACTGGTGTAGGTCATCGACGTGCGACTCCTCGTGGAGCTCGTCAAGCTGCTCGTCGTCATCGAGCTCCGCGTCGTGGTGGGCGCCTGACGCGCGCGGCGGGCGCCTGACGCGCGAGTCGGCGGATGGGACGACGGGTTCGAAGGAAAGCGGCCATGGGGATGGGGTGAGACGGGCGCGGGGGACAGGTGGGTGGGACTGGTTCCAACAAAATATATAGAAAGTATATAGAAAGGCGTACAAAGGCGAAGTCCAAAGTGATCCAGGGTGATGGCTGGAGATCTGAAAACTCTTGAAGATGAATGGACATCTTAACTCCTGATCACGTATGTCAAGTCCATGAGGCTCCCTGTGGCACCTACACTGGTTGGACATCACAACTTTACCTTGTCTGTTGTACCATCTAGATACAGGCAAACAGTTACAACAATACATGTTAAATCTTGTTAAATGTATCAAACAGTTTGCCCTTTGAACACATCCAAAACTCAAGACCACAACAAAACAAACACGGGCAGCAAGTCATACAGCTTCTGTTGCCGCTGTTGGTTGTTGCTGCTGCTGCTGCTGTTGTTGTTGTCGTCGTCGTCGTCGTTATTTGCTGTTCTGACAAGCTGACACAAATAGCCCCTTGCACCACACATCTTCTTCTCTGGTCTCCAGCTTCAACCTCAGAAGCTGGACCTGTTTGTATACAGGAGCCGGTCAAACACGCTCAGACACGGTCATCCGGACCCACAGGGTGCCCGGACGGGTTCGGGTGACTCGTCTGGACGGGTCGGACCGCGGAGACAAGATCCACCACTCCCAAAGCAGACCTCTAGACGTCATCCTGTAAAGTAAATAGCAGCAGTCACATGGAGCTAGGTGGTGTGAAACGTCCCATCCAGGGGCCGTGGATGTGACAGGAGCACCCCGACTACCTCCATGGATAGCACCCCGTCTTGTGACTCCTGGTAGAAGGGTTTCTCAAACCGTTCCCAATAAATTGGCACTCTTGTTGCGGAAATAGATCTTCAAAACTGTCTCTCCGGTTCGAAAGGCCCAGCGTAGGAAAAACAGCATGCCTCACTCTTGACTCTTGACCTGCAACATGAAGGAATCCTCATTTTAGGCCCACATCAACCCCAATGAAACCTTGTGATCGCTTCGTCTTGGCACCAGGTCAGGCCTGTCCAGTCAGTCCTCATATTCCTCATACACTCCCGAGTCCACTCACATAGACCCTGACGTCCTGGCCCCCTGGGTCCGAGTGTTTTCCTCTACCAACCCAGTGGTGTACTCAGGGTCCAGAGCGTATAGTCTTCGGTGTATCTCAGTCCAACCCAATCGCCCGCCTCATGGCGTAAGCAGATGTATCCAGTCATCTGCTTGCTCGAGCGGACCAAGTCCACATGGATCTGTGAGCAGGTAGGGCAGGTCGGACCGGTCCAGGTCGGACCGGTCCAGGTGTGGGTCATGTCCCCCCCAAACCATCCCGAAGTGGAAGAGATGGATGGCTTGACCGGTGCACACGGAGTCCTGGACTCAGCCTGGTGGGTTGAGCATGTTATTCTGTTCATCTGAAGAACTGGGAGAGTTAGATTACCTACCTAGATCTACCTAGACCATTCTGTTTGGGGGTCCTGTCTGGAGGTCCCTGTACGTAGTGTAGGGATTCCGGGGATTCCAGCCTGGTGACCCCATTTGAAGGTGCTGGTACATGAAGGTATCATTCTTGCTGTGGGGTAGATGTATGTAATCTATTCCAGTCCAATCTGGATGGTTTCGGGATGGTTTGCTGAGGTGTCCCTTCTGAAACTCTACTTCAGAGTCGTTATATATACATGTCATGTGACGTGGATATACCTTCAAAGGGGAAATTCAATGGAGATCCACCAGTAGGGTCTAGGCTAGTCTATTGGAGACCCCGAAATCCCGGAAGGTGCTGCCAGTATGTTTACATGTCAGCGATGTCGACCTCAGTGGCTTTTTTTTGGGCGGATGTTGATTCTCCATAAAGAAAAAGGACCTCCTCTTAGTGATGCATCTATGTATAATTACTACAAACTGCCAAGCAAACTAGAGAAGTGTCTTCCTGTCTTGGTGCGGGCAAAAGTCTTGTCTGGACTCCAACTGCAAAAAGGAACAAAGAAACGCCAGCGATAAATTAAGATTGCGATGCCGGACTAGTTATTTACATATCCCGCCGTCACAGCACAAAACAGTATGGTATGTCACGGTACGTCCCAATGTTTCAGTGCTCTTTCTTCTACAGTTTCCATACAGTGCAATTGGTCTTGAGCTTTTTGACAACAAATTGCTGCACATAATACATAGAGAAGTTGAAGTTTGTTGGTTCAACTGACAAATGTTTTCACCGATGCTCAGCCTAAACAGCTTCAACGATATTCACGTGTCATGCAACAGTTGACAGTGAGTGTAGACACTTGATTGTATTTCAAACCCCATATGATGAGGTTTTACAACCCAAAACTAGAATATATCAGTCCAGAGTCTACATTAGTTCTCCTTGGCGAAACATCATGTGTCGATCAAACACCCATGCCATGTGACAAACATGCAGTCTTCCTCTAGGACTCCCGGCCTGGAGAGTGTTCACCCCAAAAATCTTCGCTCCCTATCAGAATCAGTCATGAGATGTCATGAGTGTACTTTTTGGAGTTGCCTTGCCTTGCCCAAACCACTACACTTGCTCACTACGTCACTACGCTCCAGACCTTGCAAACATGGGGATCCTTGGACCGAACGACTCCTCGGCGGTTTCACCATCCATGTCCACCCAGTCCGCTCCGCGGGAGGACCGGCCTGGCAGATCTCCTCTTCACGGCTATAACCTCGCCACCGAGGGCGGGGAAGACGACGAAGATGAGGACTGCCTACTCCCTAGAAGTCGAGCCACCATTGTTTTACTAGCCTTTAATTACCGAACCACCATTGTTTTACTAAGGGTTTTACACTACAAAACCAGATCAACCAGTGTTAAAATGGTCTTCGACTTCCAGGGTACTACCAGTACCTATACCGTAGTTCCCGAATTCTAGCGGCTAGACTCCCGTGGTTGGTTTTCGAGCTACGTGGCGAGCTACGTGGAAGACGGAGGAAGATGAGTCTCCCCCCCTGGCTCCGAATGGCGTTTCTTCCGGAACGCACCGGGTTAAACTCCTGAAGTTTGTCATAGAACATCTATCATGGATTGACAACTTTTTCCAAGATTGGTCTGTAAGACAGGTGAAGCCCCACAAATCCTTAGAAAGGGCAGGTCTCCACCACTCCGAAATCCGCTTCCTTTTGTCACCCCCCGTACCGCACAGACTAACGAGTCTTGGGCATAACACCTATTGGCACTGACTTCCCTGGGGCTGCTGGCCCATGTCTTCAGGTTCGGTGGTTAAGCCCCCCCCAAACCACCCCAACCATCGAACCGAAAGGCAGGTAGGACAGGAGCCGTTGGGGCGTCTGTTTCTGAAAAAAAACAGACTTGCAAAACTGCGAAAATACACACACAAACACACAAACAAACACAATTCAGGAACAGTAAAAGAAAAGGAGTCGATCGATTCAAGCATTTATTCATGACCTCACTTACGTCGTTTTGCATTCAGAACCTCCCTTCTGCTTTTGCTTGCCACCTTTTCCTGTTTAATGGACCACTATTCAACCGATTCAACCTCCACATTCCAGGCTTTCTTCCGGATCCTTCCAAGTCGACTGGTACTCCTGTCCCATTCTTCCTCCGTCCCCTGAGCTCTTCCGACTGATCCCGGCACAGCCGGTGGTGCTCTCCGAGTGTTCGCACCTGACCTCGCCGATTCGGGGCCGATTCGCTGGGTGCTGATCTCGATCTCGGTGATCGCGGTGATCGCGGTGCGAAAAAAAACGTGCCACGATGGCCCGACTGGACCCAATAAAAGTGTTATAAGTGATGTCCAACCTGGATTGATCCAAACCCACGTCGGAGCCGAATGTTGATGAATGTAGTGGTTGGAACCCTTCTGAATGGTGGTCGCGAAGAGCCAAATCTCTGTTTCTTGAGCCACCTAAGAGGGTGGTGGGAAACATGGGAAACTCTCCCTCTCTTCCCTTCTGTTCAAAAGGGAAGATATCAGAACTACGACAACAAGATATGGATAGACTGTTCTGTTCCCCTTCTTTCAGGGGGTCGTTGCCTGGAGATTTTTCCAAGAGGGAGGATGCTGATCGTGATCATCATGATCCACAGACTTCCTCGCTCAAATAAACCAAGAGACGAACACCCTCCAAAACCAAACCTGAAACACTCACAGCCCAGATTCCCTGCGAGGTATAGAGATCTGTAGATCGGTTGCTGGCTCGGATCCCTGTACATCAAGTACATCAACGCAGGGGGAAACTTCCTCCTGAACTCACTGCGGCAGCTGAGCTCCACTCGGTTACAGTAATTGGTCATTCTATTTCAGCTTGTGCAGCTGTGCAGTGCATGTTGCTGGTGAGTTCACCCCATGGTCATATTAGGCAAACAACTCGGCCCCCCCGAGCTGTCTCCCGCGCGCGGTCCGCGCAGTTAGTTCAACGTTGACGTGGTTTTCGGCGCGTGGTTCCAAGGGTAGATCATGATAACATTTAGCTTTGAGTGGTACACCAAGTGCTGTCGGAAGGACAAACCGCATGGTGGATACCTAATCCAGCATAAAGCTATACGGTTGGTTTCTGGTGGTGAAAGGGACTGGCATATGGAATTTATGGATGTCATTCCCACCAGAATCGTGTCTGAGAGACATACTCCTCTTTTGAGACATACCTCGGCAGCGCGTTCCAGGGCAGAACGGGCACCTCGCCTTACAGCTTTCCAAGTCGTGCACCTGGCCAGGTGGACACCATGGAGAGATGAGACGGGCCATGGGTCTTGTGGACACCATTTGAGTGCAGGTCCGGGAAAATGAATGCAAAACCATGACTCAAGATACCGTCAACTACTTCTAGGGGCTCCTTCTAGAGCTTCCTGTCTCTGACCCAAGGCTTGGTCACCCATGAAGAAGACCCTCATAGTTGAGGGTACGACTGAAAGAGGTCAAGGATCAGGTTTGGCCCGACTGGACTTGTAGGGCTGTGTTTGGGCTCCTGTCCTGGAGGGCAGGTTCAGTGCGACTGGGGATGGTTTTTGGGGCGTGTACCATGATGTGGGGCAGGAGTCTTGAGGGATTTTGACACAGTGGCACACCTATGACGCACGATGATTCTGTGCAAATCTTTCTCACCCACAACAGCAAACGGCCTTACGTGGAAAACCCCGAAAGCATCAAAAGCATTCAAAAGCATGTTTGCACTGCAACAAAATCTGACATTGAATGTCCCGAAAGAGACATCCTGCAACCACACCACCACCACCACCACCAACAACAACAACAACAACAACCACAACGACAAGGACAAGGACAAGGACAATGACGACAACAACAAGAACAACGTGTTCCAAAAAGAACCCAACCACAACTTCAACTCGTAGCGTTTCTCTCTACCCCCCGAAACGATTGCGGAGACATAGCTCAAACGAAACCTTGCTCTGACCCCCGGTCCCGGTCCCGACGCACGACGTCTCCGCGTGTGGCGACCAACGCCCACGACGTCGTCTCCACGACAAATGGGACTGCTAGCCATTCACCTACATTTGAAGTGGTATTCGAATGGGGTGAACGTCTATAGCCATATCATGCCAGTCCCAGGATCATCCAGTCTGGCAGTCCTGGCTAGACTACCGACTATGCCCTACCCTACCCTATGGATGGTCTTCGAACTGGTCACCCATGTCTGGCGGTCAGTGCGCTCTATGCCAGTCCGGCGGTCTGGCAGGTCCGGTCCTTCTCTCCGCTCGTCTCGTGCCTCGCGGAAGGCGACGAAGTCTTCGCCCTCCTCTCCGTCGAGGCCGCCTCGGGGAGGCTTCGCGTTCGCGTCCAAGGGGGAGGAGTCCCCCTCGTGGTGGACCTGGCAAACATGAAGAGACCTGCGCTGGGAGGTCCAGGTATGGCGTTGAAAGAGGCTCCGGGGCGCAGCTCCAAGCCCAGAAGACAGATGGAGAATGATGGACATCTGTCCACTCTGGAAGTCATTCTTGCATGGTACAGCCGGTCCTCAAGATGTAGAGCTGGACTCTTGAGGCCAACCAGCTTAGAGGTTCTATGTGGTTTCTGCTCTGAATCTGAACAAATGCAGGAAAACATACCAAGGAAGTTCAAGGAAGGGCCAAAAAGAAGCCCTGCTACAACATGCTACAACTATCTGATCCAAAAGGCAGTCATTAAATCAAGTCTTGGATCAATGCAAAGATAAACCAGAAACTTGAAGAGATCCAGCCAGTCCCTCTTCTAGAAATACCCTCAACCCCAAAATAAATTCGCAGATTTGCAGATGCCATGCCGACGAAGAATATCGAGGGATTCTACGTTTCTGACTAAACCATCATTGAATCATTGAGGGGATTACATGGGATTACTGATTATACATGGGATTACTGGACCGGGATTATACATGGGAATAGCCATTAAGCAAGGAAGTTCTTCATTCACCGTCGATGTCGTTCTTCATTCACTTCCCTCCACTTTCCCTCCACTTTCACCCACGTTGTCCGCCACACCGTGGCCACACGTTGTCCGCTGAGTTTCCCCTGCCACACGCACGATCTTTGCCACCGTCCACCAGACTCCACATCCCCTGGCGCGTTTTTCCACCAGACGAGCGAAGCAGAAGCACCCCCGGACGAGCGCCACGGCGAAGTCGCGATAGGCGGTTCAAGGATGGAGACACCCGTTGACACACTCAAACGCACGCAAACGACTCCAAAGACCACGCGCGTTTGATTGAACCATCGGGAAGCAATGGCCATTTCACACAACGGAAACGATCAGGGCGTCTAGATTGAAACTTTTGGAATCTAGTGGCAATTTGTGACACCAGCCCATAGGCTTCGGATTGAGGTTTTTGATGCTTGGTCAAAAAGAAAAACCGACTAGATTTGACATGATTTGACCCAAACACTCCATAGCATGGAATATGCCCCTGAAATCGACCCGAATGTAGGCATCTATTCCATACATGGAGCGTCTGTGATATATCCCTGTCGTCTGACGGGATCTCAAGACCACACCAAGACAGGTAGGAGGGGAGGTTTGTGTGTGTGTGTGGGAGAATGCAAGCATTACCTAAGTCTGAACTTCGATTCCCTAAGTTTCCAAGAAAAACATCAGGCTTAACCACCAGTTTTTATTCCGGATTTCACGCTACAAAACCAGGTCGTTCCCAATGAATATGGCATGCAACTGTGGATTAACCCATGAATACCCCCAGTTCGACCCTCTGATCAAGATGAAGGCCCGATCATACAAGGACCATTTAGTAGACTTCTTAATAAGTGACTAAAAGGACTCAACATCCCATTGGCTGGAAGCTCTCCCGCGGCCCCCAGCTGCCCCCCGCTGCCCCTTGAAGCGCGCCGCAGCTCGGTTGAGGTGCATCGATCGGACGGCGCCGACGAACCGGCGGCCTCTTCAGCCCAGCTCGGCACGGAGACCTCCTCGCCCAAGGAATTCACTAACCTCGCGCGTTCGGCGCTCGGCGTTCGGCGACACGGATCGCGGCGCGGTTCGGCGCTTCCGTGGTGAAGGACCGCAGCACTATACAGGTTCAGTCTGATCCAGGTCCAGGTCTTGTGGTCCTGAAAACCTCTCAGTGAGGAGTGTGATTTGTATCTTAGTTGAAAAACAATGCATGATGAACTCCAGCTCAAGGAGGGTCTTTGACCTGTAGGCGTTGTTTTTGTCTCCGTCCTGCTTCACATGTGTTCACCTAACTGCCGAGATCTCTTGAGCCTATGATCTAAATAAGTTTTTCATATGCCTCTCACATGGCTCAGTAACTCTTGCTGTTTCGTTCCCACCTTTCAGAATACCATCGTTCTTCTCCACTTCGTCCCCCCCAAAACCCAAAACATCACCGACACCGGAACGCGCGCCACCGGGCAACGCACTCCGCCGCGCCTGTCGGGTGCAGCGTGCAGGTGCGACAAACGTCCCACGGTGCTGCTGTCGATGAGCCGTTGGATGACCTGTGAGCTTGACCCTGACGACCGACCGACGGACCCAGGGGACCGGAGAGGCCAAGGATCAAGGGTGGTCCATGGTCAAGGCGTCTGTGGGTCCGTTCAGTCGCGGTGCGCGGAACTCACCCTGCTGCTTGACCATGTCTGGTGATGATCATTCGGTTCACGGGAAAAAAAATACAGGGTCCCTCAATGCCATGATCCACATGCGATCCAGTGGTTTCAGGTTTCCACCCATCTTCCCTAAACTCATCTAAACTCTATGGGACAGGAAGATTGTTCTGGAAGACGACACCACTAACTAATGCACCAAGGAGGGCAAAGCACATCCAGTCCCATGGAATGAGTCGGACACTGGAGCCTCGATCCGTCTTGATCCTGTCAGGGGAGGAAGGACACGGAAGGACGCTCACACCGGTTCACATTGAATTCCGTGTGCAGTTCTGCTCCTGAGGCAAGTTTCGAGACAGAACTTCCAAAGAAGCCTCCAAACACATCCTCGACACAAGGGCCACTTGAATTCTACGGTACTGGATTCCCTATAAGTCCAGAGACCTAGTAAAACCTCCCATTCCTCAGCAAGTCCGCCAGCACACTTTTTTCGCCATGGAATGTCACAGTATGTCACAGTCTTGAGCAGCACCAGAGTTTACTGTTGGAAAGCTGCTGATGTGCTGATTGCTGTGATTCACATTCCGGGACACTTCATGCTAACGTTTCAGGCCAGCTCGTGGTCCACGTACTTGCTTGTCTTTCGCCATCTCTCGCAGTTTCCTCATCTCATCATAAATGATTCCACCATGTTTCGGCCGGGCAGCTTCGGCTTCGTCTTCTTCTGGTCTGGCTGGCGGTTCATCGCTGCCTTTTGAGAACCAGCTTCCCATGACAAGCAACAACTAAGACGGGATGAACTGAAGGCTGCGGGGATGACAAAGATCGTGAACTGGGACAGGTGACAGGCATTCAGTGACACCAAGACTTCCAAGGTTAACATTTAACCCCCTTCACCCAGCGGGGCCTTGAAAAGGATGATGCCAATGTGCACGAAGCACCGTGGCAATGGTATATATATATATAGATTTCTGTAGCAGTGGTCTTTGGCCTCCAAACGAGTAGTCTTCTGTGTGACCAACTCCAGTATTTCATGAGGTCATTGACTTGTATAGAGATTATGTCAGAGATTCACCCTGACCCCTGGCTCTTTTTCGACCTTCCGATTCAGAAGTGAATGAAAGAACAGAATACAAATCCCTCCGAACAGAGCACGCTGGCACAGGACTGTCAAAAGAAAAGCCACCCATGAAACTTCGCCCAACTCATCCGGGAGGCCTCGTGCGACTGCAAGTGAGGCTTCCTTGGTGCGTAGCCGAAGGCTACCGAGGGCGAAGCCAAAATCCCAAGCAGGTTCAGGATCAACATACTTGGACCTAAATCAGGACCTTTTAACAGGTCACCACCTGCAACTTTTAAGTCTCCAAAAGCCACCAGAGGAGACCTGTTGGAGAGTGCTGGTATAACATTATAAAGCTATAGTGTTTGTTAATGACAGCTTCAGATCTTTGGGCATTACAATATTTCAGCCATATCTTAAATGTGAACCAAAAACCGCGTCCTAGCTATTCTATACCTTAACTCATCACTTCCCCAACTAGTGGTCAAAGCCAGCAAGGTTTATAGGCTCAGTTTTTGAGTTGATTTGAGGATGCTCATGGAACTGGAACTGGAGGAAGGCAACGCTTTCATGCATACCCGCGCGCGCGCGCGCTCTCCCTCTCTCTCTCTCTAGCAATTAAAGAGGGGATGACATGCTCTGGACCAAATCGCCAAGTGAAGTGGGGATTAGTCTACAGGCCAATCTGTGTTCGTCGGAGGTGTGCGCTTCCCTATCCTCAAAGCGTTCAAAGCTTCTCACAACAGTTGTTCGCAGCAATTTCTGCGCAGTGCTACCCACCAAATTCCTACCACCCACTCTTCTCCATCACCAACGCCAAAAACACCGTTACTGGTAGAATCTTGATGAATCAACCCCTCACACCCCCCCCCACTTGGATGGTAAAAGCTCTTTGCTTCACCCTCCACCCTCCTCCAACCGCAATTTGAGCCGAAGCTGCTCCGACAGCACCAGCGCCGCGGCGCCGGCCACGTGCGCCGCGGCCAGCGCGCTCCCGGCGGAGCGGCGGAGCTCCGCCGTGTCGGAGCCTCCGGGACCCGCCCGAAGGGAGGAGCCGTAGTTGCTGGAGCAGGCCCCAAAGAGAGGTTTGATGGACCCGGGCTGAACCATGTTATGATAGGTATATACCCCAGGTGAGGGTATAAGAGGTGACGGGTCCTATTTGCGGTCACTGGCTACCTCTTTGGGAGGGTGAGGCGGTGGAGGAATTGATAGTTTATTTTTTGGATTCGGGGGAAGGATGGGCGATAAAAAGGAGTTCAATGAGGGGTGGACCCATCGGCCAAGGCTAATTAAGCGGCCAAAGTATGAGCCAACTCCTCAAAAATGCAGTTATGGCCAGGAAATAAGGAAATGATGTGGTTATACTTGTTTTTTGAAACCTAGGAAGCAGGCTAAAAACACATCTCTGTATCCCAATGTTCCTTCTCAGCATCAAACCCCTTTGAGTGCATTTGGCGCTCCAAACGCGCTCCGCTCACTGCGGAGCTTGCATTCTGAGCTCCCCGGGCCGATGCCCGCGCTGGTGAGGTCCTCGCCCGGTGCCATCAAGTTGATACCTTGGGAGCTGCGAGCTGCGCGGTATCAAGCTCTGAACATCTCTGAACGGAGGTGAGCGGATGGGGCACAGGTGACTTGGACTTGCTGCTTCCAGGAAGCCGGGAAAGAATAAAAGCGCGATTCCCCAGGTTTGGGGCTTTACCCATAGAGCCATATAGAGCAAATAAGACATCACCTGAAGCAAGACCAGGGTGTGCGGAGTGATCTGGATGGTGGATGGAGAACTTCTCCGGATCTGCAGTTCGTCTCCGGTGAATCTACTCCCCAGGGCCCGACGTACACGACAAACAGGTCACCAGTCTGGTTCGACCGCTTCGACAGGGTCCTTCCCAACCCTCAACGTTCACAGCCCTGGCCGCCTCGGCTGCATAGCCAGCAGAGTCGGGTGCTGGTGATGTGATGTTGCGAGTGATATGTGATGGATATGTTTCCGAGGGTTTCGACTCCCCCAGGTGTGGGGGGTCTCGCTCCTGGCCCGGATCCTTCAAGAATCGGTAGGTGCATCACCTCCCTGGCACCCCACCCACTCCGACCACCTTAGCGAAACTGGAGGTAGGACAGGAGCCCAAATGGAGTTATGCCTAGTCCCGCCTCCTCACAGTCCAAAACATTCCAAAGCGACTTCCCAGGCTCCTTCACCGGTGGTATCTGGTGGTTGCAGGTGTGTGTTGGCCTCTTTTCTTTCAAAGAATGGTGGTCTCATGTCTCATGACCCCAAGTGGATGGCAACATGGATGACCCCATGTAGTCGATTCATCGAGACGTGCTTCACCCGGTGAGACACACACACACACACACATGACTCATGACGAATACGTGAATACGAGGGTTCGCAGCCCGGATCTCAGTGTGCAGCCCAACCAAAAGCACGGACTTTCAGAAGTAACAGCGAGAAATCCAAGAGTTGAAAAACAAAAAACAAACAACATATAAGGCTGTTGGATGCTATTAGCTTTCCTGAATGCTAGTTGGGTTCAACTTACAACCTCTCTACAGGAAACTACTCTAGCTTGCTGATTGGTCCCTGACCCGTCCCTGACGACGCACGACCTGGTTTGATCCATCGATGCTCCAAACCAGCAAACGACCCGTGCGACCTGCGCGAGGTCATTCCGCCCCTGGAACGGTCCCAACGCGTGGATTGGCTCCGAGGAATTGGATTCTAGGACGGTTCTACATATCGATGGGCGATTTGATTTCACATGCCGAAATGTGTGAACTCATCTTGCAATCTTCTTGCAACCTCAATGAGGAACTCCAGGTTTTCCACAGGCACAATTTGCTTCCCACGAAATGCCAGGCCCACGTTACGTCGCCTGGTCCCCATCAAGGCCCGCATGGGCAGTTGAAACGGCTCCCTGTGCCTCCACCCAGCCTCCGTTGAACTTGAGGGACGCAACAGGTCTAAAAGAATGGATGCTCAACTGCCACCCAGCAGCACTGGCCGAAATTGCTGGTGTTGGCTCGAGTGTCATGCCTGGATTGCAAGAGGCTCGTTGCGCCAAGCAGTGGGAGATCATCTACCTAAAATCTTGTGATACTGTGACACTCATGACGTCCTTTTGAGATCTTTTGAGAAGAATATACAGTAGAGGGTCTTTCGGGGTTCATTGACCTATCAATTGGTTGTTCACTTGGGGGCATATCCCCTCGATGAATTAACCAATCGTATACAAGGCCGAATCTGTTACACTACCCAAAGAATCCTTGGGCCCTCCATAGCAGAGGTCCCCCCTCCCCGAACCAAACCCTATGTGTTAGCAAAAAGGCCCGGATTCTTAGGGTGCTTGCGGATTCTGAGGTAGGTTGGATCCAAGTACCCCAAACATGGATGCTCCGTACCCTAAGAATCCGAGCCTCTCCTCTGCTAACGGATCCAGAGGCCCGGATTCAGATCGGTTGCATTGGATCCAAGTTCCGATCCTCGACCGAGCTACGGCGCGTTCATGCGCCGCTACGAGCGTTGCTGCGTGACGTACACCCCAACACGGCGTACCGCCGGTTGCTGCATGCTACGGTCGCCGGAGTGTTCGGTCACAGAAAACCTTAAGCACGGAAAGGAAGGTCACCCAGCTTTATACCAGATGAAACCGGCTGGACATGGCCTCTGTAAGATCTGGTATAATTTGTTTAAAAACAAACCCACCGGTCCTGGTGTTTCCAACATCCAGGACCTTCTCAGTGACCTTTCGAGTTCCCAGAATTAGATAGAATTAGATCAGTTAGGTCTTGAAAAGGGCACTGACCAATCCCGAAAAGGTCCCTGGGAAGTTCCTAGATGTTCACACAACTCTTAACACCACTTCATGACCCTCCCGAAGGCTCTCCCTCCGTCCGCGTTTGCGGGACCTTCGAGCGTTCTTCCAGCCCTGGACGTCCAGCGAGGCGCCTGGTGGTGGCGCCCACCGTCAGCACTGAAGGGATGTAGCCGGGTGTGTATTCGCAAGCGTCGGGGTGGGCCTCGGCGAAGGCACGGCTTGGCGAAAGAAAGGTGTCATCCATCCGTCAAGGTTGGCAGGAGGCATGGCAAGGTTCCTTTCCCTCAGGGATGTCCAAGGGATATTTGAAGACCATGAGTAGAACTCAGAGAACACAACAAGAGTTGGGTTTTAATGGGGGGAAAGCCTTGATATTGTAAGTTGGTAATGTCCCGTGCTTCCAAAATGCCCCCACAAAGCAGTTTGACACTCCGGAACGCACGGGAATGGTTCACTCACCCCATCTATATCAGCGTTCAACTATATATGATGGAGGCCCAAAGAATGCAACAGTAACATCTCGAAGCCTTTCTCTTGACTCATCGTCTTTGGAATATCTCGTTCACCTTCCAAAAAACCGTGGGACAATCAATGGAATCCAAATACAGGCTCTTTGATGCCACTCTGATGAATTTACTTTGAACTTTGAACCATGCAAAACGTTTCCCCCGCCCCATCATTCCCCCCACATCCACCTACAGTAGTCTCAGAGTAGACGGCACCAGCACCCGCTTGAAGAGATCGAGACCCAGCATAATTACACCACCCCAACTTGGACATGTCGTGTGTGTGTGTGTGCCATCTTCTCTAATCCACCATTCTACTTCAGACCTCCCCACCCCAATCCGGCCCCCTGCATCATCCCGGCCCCCCATCATACACCTATCCCAAACACTCCATGGGACTGCCGTATATGCCGATCAGTTGGGGTGCTTGGGGGTTCAATGGATCGGCATATATGGCGTACATGGAGTGTCTGGGTATAGTAAGCTTCATGGTCCGGGACCCAACTCTGCGGCCCTTCGCGCCGTCCGTCCGTCCGGGCCCCGTCCGTCTGGGCCGACCGGCCGTGTCGCCCTCGTCGCCCGCGGCCGCCACCACGGTGATCCCGGCACGGCTGGCCTCGGATGCCGCGGAGGTCGGGTGGAAGGTCGGGTGGAGACTCTGGGGGGTTTTTGAGGTGATAGGCATTCTCAGTGGATTGCTTAGGCATTTGTGGTTCATCTTCTATCTATTCCAGGATGGTTTTACAGCAACAATTAGAGCAGGGGAGGTTTGCTAATGGGGAAGGGAATAGTTCGGAATTTCCATCTGCCTGGCGTATAGTAGAACCACTGAGCAGAGCCACTAAGTGTCATCCGAATCCTGCTTTACAAAGAAGGTCAATGAGCTTGGTGACCCTAATTAGCAGGATCCACCACACCGATTTCCAAAACACTCCACAAAACTGGAAAAATCGTTCTTACTTCCAGCTTCTTCAAAGTGACCTTTTGAAGGTTCCTAAGTGACCCTTAGGAGACTTAAGTGACCGAACCAACCAGGTTATCAAAAGGTCACTTTGAAGAACCAGGTGATAGACATATATATATATACTTATTAGACATACTTAGACCCCAAAATTCCACCACTCCGGCATCTTCCACTCCCGTTCCTTCTCCCGTTCCTTCACCCCCTCGCGTCCACCCACGGCTCCGCCCGCTCGCGACCGGCGACGACTCCTGGGCTGTGCCGGCCGCGTCGGCCGCCGCGCGCCAGGCGCTCAACTGGCCCTGGGTGGCGGAGCCCAGCACGGCAATGGCCGGCCTGAGCGAAGAGCGGTGACTGGGCAGAGGTGAAGTGACCGACAACTGGGGGACCTTTAATTAGGGGTGACTATGCCATAGTCTATATTAGTCTACTATAGATTAGTATAAATTACATTAGTCTATATCTACCCTGGGAGTCAAAGACTATAAAAAGAATGGTCTTTAGGTGACCCAAAAAGGAATTTCTTTTACTTCAGTCGTTTAAAATATAGTCTTATAGGGTCTATATAGGGTTTTTCAAGCTCTCCTGGGGTCGCAGGAACCGCGGTCTCCCGCTGTCGCGCAACGTTGCGCGCCCCGGGTCGGAGTGCCGGATGAAGGAGCAGGGAAGAGGGGGAAGAGGGGGCAGAGGATGGGATGGGCATGGATGGACGATCGGCCGGCTATAGGGGCGGGGATCATGTTGGAGGCCAGTTGGGGCGATGAATTGCTCTGAAATTGTTCTGACCATGGTGGTTCAGACCTGGAACCCCCACCACAAAGCCGATGTTTCCTCCCTCTCAGGCGATGCCATGTTGAACTGGGCATGAGTTGCACTCATGTCGCTCAACGCCTGAGTACGTCTATCCAGTTCAGTGGCCACTGTGACTGAGGCCCCCTGCTGCTCGGCATGCACCAGCAGCCAATCGAAGGCTGCCATCATCTGCCAGCTATGACCTGACGATGTCGGCTCATCTGATATCATCTTCCAGATATGACCCTTTTCGATGTCCGTTCTTTTGTTGCACTGCTCCTAACCTCTAGAGCCAATCAGTCACCGTTCGGTCACCGCTACCTGAATGCTCCGACCTACCAACTCGCACCAGATCGCACCGAGCGGAGAGTCGCAGCGGTCGAGCCTGATATTTATATATTTATTTATAACTTATAACCCAAACGCTCCATGGAACTGCCATATATGCCGATCAGTTGGGGTGGTTTGGGGGGTCAATGTAGGCATATATGGCGTACATGGAGTGTCTGGGTAGGATGTTCAGTCGGTTTAAACCACCGGTGCAGCCACAGACGTCGACCTTTCAGCAAGCGCAAATGAAACAAATTGAGATGGTATTCGTAAGATGTGCCCTTTCGCCCGGGGGAAGCAAATAGGCTTCAATCCACCATCCATTTTGCACCATCCCTGGAGGCCCTGAGGGGTTCAAAGCTTAACTCATAGAAACGTACATCGATAAGCAGCGATGTGCTTGTGTATTCTTTCCAGGTCAGTCTTCGAGGGCGCTGTCATGGTGGGAGGGGCCACCATCTCGGCACTGGTGTGCCAATGGAACGCGCGCCTTTGGAGGGATATGTTCCCTCTTCCTCCTGCCATTGATATTCCAATCGATGGAGCTCAAGTGGGTCTGCGTTTGGCACTGGTTGTCGAGTCAGAGCATTGATGTACTTTCCTTCCCGGTATGCTTCGCCTAGATTCCTTGCTAATTCAGCCCTTGCAAACTAAGAGGAGGAGGGTTTCTATGAATGAAGTCTTTTGAGTGACTGACAATTGAACTTCCTTTCTCGTACCAATTCGGAATTTCATAGAATTTGCAATTTGATTTTGTGTTTGAAGATAATGTAGTGAGATTGTGCCTTGACCCTTTCGGTTGTTCTGATGTGCTTCTGATCCTGGAATGTTCTCACTCATGTTCGATTTGACGCATTTTCAGCCCGCTCAAGCACCAGACGGTGCGCACACATGTGGGCTTGGGGGAGAAAGTCGCGAGATTGATTAACTGCTTGCTTGTGATGCAAAGCATTGATGTCCCAAAATGGGTATCGCAGAAGCGACTGCCAGACCCAGCTGTTGTACAGGCAGTGTCCAGATCTGAGTGAAATTCAGTGAATGGATTCGCTGTGATCTGAAATCCGTTCTTCAAAAGAGGAGGACACAACGTCCCTCAGCATAAAAGTGTGTGGGCCAGGGAAACGGCAAACAAACCTGTACAAACACCCTCCAACAGGCCTCCTTTGGATGGCTTTTAGATGCCTGACGGGTCTCAGTGACCTGTTGGAGGGTGCTGGTAGGAGATACTAAAGTAGACTCTTGATATCTCCCCCATTTCGATTGAAGATCTTCATATGGGGGGTCATTCATCAAGAGTCTCCATTCTCAAGAATTGCCCATGCTTCGACACGCCTCACACCCAGCTTATGGTTCTCCGATCTCACTGCGCCGCGGCGGCCTCTGCCATGGTCGTCCAAGACTTTCAAGGCCTTGGTGCTGTTCCGAGAGCTCCCTGGAGCTGAGCAAAAGCAGCCACCAAGGAGGCGATCCAGCGATCGATCGAAAGCGGTGCCGCGTGCCGGGACCCTTAGCGCGCAGGACCGTGGTGCAGATCGAGCAGGCAGCCATGGGAGGACACAAACTGTTGTTTAGCCAGCGGGCACCCCAAAAATCGAAGAAAATTGCCACCCATGGGGGAAGTTCGAAGAAACAACACTGTTGTATAGTGGGCCAAATAGCTGGGGCATGTAGGTACAACTAACTAAGGCCGTCGGAATCCGCAAGGCCCCCCCATGAAAGTTCAACACAGGCCTATGGGCCTATGCCCTACACGAAGGCGTTGCGAGTGACACGAGTGGTGCATTCGACGGGTCTTGTTGGGTTGGATACCCATCAACGGGTCTTTCTGCTGCAAGGGTTCAGGATGGTTCAGGGCGATCCTCCTCCGGATGGAATGATGGTCCCCCTATAAAGACGATCTTCCGAAGACCAAACAGGAGGGCGGGTCTCCACTTGCATGTTACTGTTGGGGGGAGGGTAGAGCTGATGCTTATGTCCGTCGATGCTCACGTGACCCAAGCCCCATGGTACAGTTCTTTTTTTCCCCCCCCCTTGTCAGATACATCTAATGAATTCTGAGGTGGGCTTCGCCGCGGTGTTCAGCCGCGCATCTACAACATCCTGTGAGCAGTTCAGGCTGTTGCTTCTTGATTCAACTCATCTGAGCGTTCGCAGTGTCGTCGAGGCACATGGATTGTAGCCGATTTCGCCACACCATACCTGTCCGGCAGGTGGTGGACATTTTTGGCGTATGGATCAAGAAACCAAAACAGTACAAGTAGGGCTAAAGGCACCCCAATCAGGACAGTATCCCCAGTATCCCCTGTAAAAGCTTTGATGAAAGGAAGAGATACCAAAACCAATTCCGTCGAACCAGCTACAAGCATGCGTGGGGGTTCGAGTTCGAGTTCACGTGCTATATCAGCAGAACCTGCTGTGTGACCGGTCCCCTTGCACTTTCATCTTCTGTGGCCAAAAAGCTGAATCGACATATACTGATTGCCAAGAACGACTCGCCATCTACCCATGACTTCTCCACCAATGCTTTGGGAGCCGCTCCACCTGGGCAACTTTGGGTTTATTTAAGCAATCCCAGTCCTAGGACCCTCCAAAGGACCTAATCAACAAGGAACTTTCCTCCAACTGTCGAGGTACTTGGACACTTTGAGGTATAGACAGACTAATAATGAATTCGAACCTTGGCTCTCCGTAGGTCCTTTGCTCTCGGTGAAACGGTTTACCTTCAGTGGTTTACGTTTAAGTCAGACATCCCTTCCAACATCTCCTCAATCAACGGCACATAACAGGACCAAGAAGGGGTCTGGTTCAGTAGGACAAGCGCTTTTACAGACCCTTGGGGTGTTTGGCAGCCAGAACACACTTCGTCCGAAACCCAGAAACACGCTGTTGTCACGACCAGCCTCAACCTCCATAACCCTCAAGACCCCCAAACATGACCTGTCTCAAACCTGGATACTGGGGTCATTCGTCGAATTTTGGCCAATGGGACATGTATAGCTATTCCATGTATAGCTATTCCATACATGGTCAATGTATAGCCATTCCATGTCCCATGGGTCGTGTATAAGCACCAATGGTATTATATACTGACGGTGTGGCCAAACCGTGCTAGCTGAGCGGTTTTTTCTGGTGGTGCTGCCGAACCAGCTATTCCTTGTAGACAAGTCTATGTTGCCATGCTATTCCTAAACAGCTCGTGGTATTCCAGCACCATATATAGGATTGTGTTTTTTTTTTTAATAGGGGCACCTCTCCAACCAATGGATGTTCTTTGTTTTTCATCTTGCCCAGAGGTCGAACTGGGGTCCGGAGTCTCCCTATTCACCCATCTATTCACCAGTCCGGGGTCCGAACCGACCCGAGAGATCCGGGTTCCGCGCGCGGAACGCCGCGCCTATGCCCTCCGAGGATCCCAGCGATGCCTCGGGTGACGGGCGGCAGACCGGTGCCCACTGCCTGTGAACATTGGAATGGGCGGTGTGTGACCGTCCATGTTGGTGAATTAACGGTAAAATTCCTTTAATCTATCTCTCCGCATTCCTATACTCACTCTCACAAAGGAGTTGACTCGGAATCTATTTTCTGGGTTAGGTAGAGTCACCCATGATGAGTCAAGGGGTCTGCTACTGTCTGTGCAAAACTACATGTCCAAACAACATGGGCAGCACAAAAAGCCAAACCCACCCCTCGGATAGGCCATGTGGGACTCTTGATCGCCTGTTGATAGCATTCTTCATGTGCCAGGAAAGACTTTGCATGCACCCAACCACTGTACCCTGTACAACCCCACCCCCGTACCTTACAATCATGTTTTTTTGCAAAACCCAGCTAGCACCTATCTTAAATCCAGCTAATGATTGCGTGATCAGTCGAGTTGTTCCAACTGTTGATGAACGCGCTCTTTTACGAGAGCTCCTATGGAGTCTGAAGACCCCCGTCGTGATTGGCAACCACCAAGGAGCTTATACAACACACCAAAAACCTGCATGGAGTTCAATCATCAACAGTGATAAGAATGGCTTCACAAGACTGCTTTCGTCTCAAGTAAATCCAGTGTCCAGCGCCGTGTTCTTAAAAAGAGGTTTTGTGCGGTTGTTGAAGGGCACAAGCAAAACAAACGGTGTCTGCGCCATCCCATTGGTCCATGGGTGTGTATTTTAATAGCGATACGTAAAGCCAAAGGCTTTTGGTCCATTTGCCTTCTTCGTACGGGGGTTGGGATTCTTTTGGTCTATCGCTCGATCCTTCCAACAGGAAGTGCGACGTCCGTGACGTGTCATCTCGCTGTTCTTTATAATATAAGTTCATATGCATAGTACCTCTATCAAGGGATCATCATGCACCGAAAAGAACAAAAGAACTTGCTGGTCCCTAGAGGCGAGGGCCACCTATAGACCAAAGCACCCATATGTTTGTCGACATGTCTACGACCCATTGTATGAAACCATCAGCTATAGAACATGCGTTTGTTTTCTTTTTGTGGAAAACAACAACTCTTGGAACCTGAACAATGCTCCGATCATCTTCCATCCAAGCCGCTCTTGGATCAGACATGTTTCATCGTCCCAATGGTGAAAACTCTTTGATTGTGCAAACAAAGAATCACCGGTCAAAATCAATTGTGAATTGGATGTAAAAAACATACCCCTTACTCTACCATGGGGCATCCGGACACCCATTTCATAGAGGATTTGTGTTTATAAAATGGACGTCCGCAAAAAGAGTTTATATATAATGATGGCCGTATGTGTCTCCAAGATTGCTATATAATGATGGTGCTTCTGAGGTATCAAAAAGGATCAAAGAACTCTGGAGAAGTGGCATGCTTCTAAAATGATAGGCTCCAGGATCAATAAGCACCAGTATAGCTTTTCCTGAAACCTTTATGAAATGACAAATCCACAAGCAAACCTGGGCGACCCCATCACTCCATCTTTGGGCTACTACTTCTTAGGACTCTGGGGTGTAGAAGTCAAAAAGTGTGGTTTTGATTGGGT